TAAAAGTTAATGTCAAATATGACTAAATATGACTGAGAAAGTTGAATATGACTAAAAAAATTTGAAAAAACTTTTCAAAAAAAATTTTTGAACTCTAAGTTGGTTGCAAGGGTTCCCAAATCCAATTAACTTTACATTAGGTCGCACTTTCTTCATCGCAATCTGGTTACTTACTTTCCTGCCCTCTTTTTAAGACAAATTTTGCCCCTAGTACAACCTAAAACTGTTCAAAGAGTTCTAGGCTGTTCTTGATTTACTTGGTAAGTTATGGTATACCAAGGCTGCGGGGCGGAGGAGAGGAGAAGGTCAACACATTCAAATTAGTGCTACTGAAAATGACTCATGCGCCTTGGAAATTTAAAGGAAAAATACGAAAAGTTACAGATGTAAGCAGCTGCCTAAAACCGATTCAAGCTTTTTCGAGAAGATTCTGCTCTTTCAAGTCCATCCTGAAAGCCCTTTCAGGAAGATACGACAAATGCGAAGAAGTTTCTGCTGAGTCAGCAAAGCCAAACAAATCAGCTTAGCGCTAAATCAACTCGAAGTTCTGCAAGCGGTAAACTGCGCTCCTCAGATCTTCAGCTTAGTCGATCACTTTTGATTGTTACGAGGTAACTGTTGAATATATTTCAGGGGTCGGGTTTTCTCTGATCCACTCCTTGCCAAACATGTTATTCAAAAATCTCTCTCCCGGGCTTAGCGTTCCGCAGAGTCTTTGACTCATTCGTTTTTCAAACACATAAATCAAAAGCGATTTGTCGGCGACACAAGCTCGGAAGTTTGAAATCTGGTTTTGCATCATCCATTCCGCTTTGTGCGGAGTGAATCAAAACTTTAAAATTTCAAGTTTTCCTGATTTCTGTGGCCCCCTGGATGAAAACGAACGTTATCCAGGCCACATGGTCAAAGCTTCAGCAGTTCTATGTGGTGATGCTTTCACCTCCAAGTGGTTGGGCCGGAAACTTCGTACTGTTGTATCAAGGTCTCAGGCGACGGGGCCTGTAGGCCGTCTTGAGATCATTTTGCACGCTCAAGTCGGCCAGCATGTTATTAACGGTCCGACGCATAAAATTAACTTCAATTTGTCTGACAGTAAGTTGAACAAAAGCAAAGGAACTGTTTTAATGCTGTTTATCATGATTTATTCGGCAAAATAAGTCCTCGAAATTTAGATATAGAGCCTTTGATTTTTCAGTTTCGAGATTGATGTGAATCTGAGTCTGAGATCAGCTATCAGGACAAAAAAGAACTGACGGATGTTTTAGAGTTTGTGGCATCGTACGTGGGTCAAGATCATCTCCCTCCAGAACTACAAATTCAGCAATGCCTGAATTTAATAATTCGGACAGACTTGCCGTAATTCGCTCCTAGAAAAAAGCATAAAATGAAAAACGGGTATGTTGGATTTGATGAAATCATAAATCAAATGCTGC